TGTTTGAATAATGAAATTATAGTAACAAAATATTAAAATTAATGGTAGCTTTGGGGTACCAAGCAAGAATATCCCAAGTTAATTAATGTTGAAAGGACTAGGTCAACTTGGAATTATTACTCAAACTCAGGTATATCAGATTCAGCACATGTATGTATGAGACCTTAGCTATTGAACAATCATCACATACAGGGTGAAAGATCGAAACAAGTAGCATGGGGTTGTGTTGCAACGTCTAATTGGGTGTTTTCTATCATATCATATCATCAAGTCAGGTCCATCAACCCAACCCAACCCCACCCACCAACGCCAAATAGCAGCACACCATCACTAGAACCATACCCCCCACATATATATAATAAATATATTAATTACCATGAGCTTGTTTAAAAATAAAAAATCTTCAGGCAGAATCTCAACAGTGGCAAATAGATTCCCCATTTCTGATTTCCAATGACCCAAATTCTCCATTTGGCACTTGGCTGACGCAACACAGTTCCCTTAATGGGCCCTATATACTTTACCTCCCCATACCTTACTCTCTGCTTCTGCCTTCACTCTTCTTTTCCCACTGCCACTTACCTTCCTTTGTGTTTACTTAATAGAATTACTATGGTGTGAAAGTTTGGTATGAAAATCAGGGATTTTATTTCTTCCCTAGTAAAAAGTTTTACACATAATAAAAATATTTTCTTTTTCTACTCATTCTCTCTCAAGGCATGGACTGACAAAGTGGGTTTAATTGGGTCAATTCATGGATGTCACATCCACATATCTTTATCCTCGGCGATTTCTCATCTGGTTGACATCCTGTTGCAATCACACACATCCACACATATTCTATTAATTACCTGTGACTTTGTTTTTCGCAACACATAATGGATAAAATATCCCAAAAATATTCTGAATACATTATTTGTCATGAACTTTTGCTCAGTGTAATCACCATTATCCTACCCTCGTAATTAATGCTTATTTAAATGAAAAATCGTTGCAAGAGGTCATTTAATTTTACTGTAAAATTTGTTGAAATAAATTTACAAAGTTAAATACTAAATGGAGTCTTAAAAACTGATTAAGAAACAAGTATTTTGTTTGGGGTGAAAGAGTTTGTAGTTCAGGAGGAGTACGTACAGCATGCAATGTTTTGATTCTGAAAGGGGTAAACCCGTTGAGAGTCGAGTGATCTAAAGTGGAGCTAATTATAAAAAGTTTTCCAAAATTGAAAGATTGCAAACCTGGATAGTTGACTACCATATGTAACAAAGTTGTTGAATTTGTTTGGGGAAAGTTTTAGATCGATTCAACTAAATGTTGGAAAAGGCATCCTTTTATGGATGGTATTCATTATGTTTAATGATGATGCTTAATTACAACGCCTTAGAAGGCCCACAACCACAAACATGGAAGTTCGTTTCCACAAGACTAGATGTTAATTATGGATTCCCAATACAACTTTGTTAAAATTGGAATGAATGATGATGAGCCGGGAGGCTTCTTTCATATAAAATCCTCTATTATTCAGCTTATATTTTTAGTATACTCTTTATTTATCAGAAAAATGATTATATTGATATAAACATTGAATTCACGCCAACTACTATATGATATATAATAATTTATTGTCTCATCAGCAGATAAATATGTATGTTCTCTTCTTCTTTTTTTATAAGATATTATTTAAAACATTTTGATTATTTTATTATAAACTTTTTATAAGTAATATAAAATATTTTATTTTTCATATACCTTTAATAAATAGAATTGATTGAAATCATAAATTAAAATTAGTAAGGAATTTTTTTAAAATTTCAAATATTAATTTTGTTAATATTAACTCTTAAAACTAATTTTATGCATCTAAAAATAATAAATTTTTTATGTAATAAATATTTTTTAAAATAAAATATCGTTACTTTTAGGTGACTAGAATTAGACCTAGAGTCTAATATTAATGTTTTCCTTAAAATATTGATTGTAAGATTAAGATTCATAATATTAAATAAAGATAAATTAATTTATTATAATATATTTTTAAAATAAAAATAAATTAATTATTTTTTAAATTGATATAATTTAATCAAACATGCCTTATACAAAAAACTTAAAAAAGAAGTAATTGTTAATAAAATAATTTATCAATAAAAGTTAAGGCATTTTATCTGTTATTGTGTATCATAACCTAAAATAAACTAAAGATATCTATATTAACAAATTTATTTATTCTAAAGAAAAACTATGTCAAGGAGACAAGCATAACAATTATTTTTTTATTATTGTATTTTTTTTTAATAGTGTTTTAAGGTAAAACCATGAAGATAACATGCAAAGTGGGTACAAAACATATTAGTCCACCATAAAAAAAACTTAAATCCTAGCGGCTAGTTATTCTACTATTTCTTCTAGATATTTGAAATTAAAAGGAAAATTTTATTTTTCTTAATTTTTAAGATATTCAATAATTAATAAAAATCGTTTTAACCTTTTAGTAAGGACTGAAGCCAATTTAGTTGAAAGAAACATTATTTGTACATAGGTATAATTGAAATGGTAAGCATGATTGAATTTATACAATAGAGGCCACCGTTATTAAATGGTCAACTTTTCGTGAAACATTAATTTTGGGGGGTGTTATGCATCTTGTGGCTAGTACTGATCGCAGTGGTGGATAATGAATAAAAATTTAAGAGAGTCATAAATATTGATTAAAGTAATTTAACTAAAATCACTACAATATAAAATTTAATACAATAAAATTAATAATGAGATAGTGATAATAACATATATTCTGCACAAATAAAAATTATAGAAGAATTATTTATGTATATATTTGTTTTTTTTTTTCAAACAAATAGAAGTTTCATCTACGTAAATGATAAAAAAAAAATAGAGTGCACATCTTTACTATAACTTATGACTATTTCAACTTATGACTTGCTACTTATAAATAAACTTAACAATTGAAAGTAAATGATAAAAATAGGACACACCTTTTTATTGTAACTGAAGTTACAATTTGTAAATAATGCATATCTATGTCTAACGAAAGCAAAACTGTGCAAGAAAAAGTTGAGAAATTTTCTCTTGAATAAATTTCCTCTCTTTCACTTATATATCATCTGCTTTATGTATAAAAAATCTTTTAACTTTTAAAATTAAAATAACTTGTTTCATTTTTTTATTAATTTATGGTAAGACTAGTAGGATATATATATTATATATAATTATTAAAAGATTTACAAGCTTTGGAGGAGTTCGTGGCCTCCTCCCGCTCCCAAGAAGGTTTGTCCCTGACTTTTCAATGTGGATGTTCTCATGGTGAAATTAGGTGTATTGATGGAATTTTTGCAAGGATTATGTAAGGATTATGAAATAATATTGAAATATGATGTTCAAGTCAAAAGGAGTTTAGGGAAAAATAATATATATAAAAGAAGGATTATGTAATATAACTGAAGCCTAAAGTTTTACTTCCTTTATTTAGAGTTTTTATTATTACATTTGTAATGGTGTCTATCTTTTTATGTTTGTCGATAGATTTAGCCATGCAAGTTGTGTATTTATATGACAATGGACGTCTATTTCTTCTCAAGCAAGTGTAATTTAAGGTACTTATTTAACTGTGGTGGATTGCAGTAGTAGAAATATTGGTTTTGAGGTGGTTTAACTGTGATTATCTTCTAAGCTGACGTTAATGGGTATTATCTCAAATCATGGGAGAGTTTAAAAAAATTGAATATTTATTAATCTTATATATTTCAATATTAGAAAAACCTTGGTACAAAAATATATATTGAACTTTATCTAAATATGGAGAAATGGGTGTTCAACTTCCCATATCTGTCAGCTTGGACCTTGTAGAAGACATGTTGGTCTTCACTCGCAGAGATTGGTGTAGAAAATCAATTAAGAGTTAAGTTAACCCTGTCAGGGTATAAGGAAACCATTTCTTCCCATCCCTTTTAATCTAGCAAATATATGTGCTGAATCAATTTATTAATTAATAGCAGACACAAGTGGTTAAACTTCTATATTCTTTTATGTGGACTTTCCTAATTCAATTGCATTTCATAAAACTCATTAATTAGGGCATATTGTTAATGTTGTTATGCCCAAACAAAGTGATCAATAGGTGTTATTAACTAGCACTGTTCATAAGTGAATACTGTATTGGGTAGTCTAAATGTGAGATTCTCATGATAGATAGGTCTAGTTCATAACGTTAAATTAATATACCCATGGAAAGGACCTTACTGCTTTCTTTGATTCAGAGTGCACCTGCCTCTTCGAAACTGGCAAAGTAAATATTGTGAAAAATGAGTAGTTCTTCTCCCTCCGAAGATTTTGTAAATTTTAATCGTCTTCAATTTATGCCAATAATAATAGTATCATCTTTGCCATTTTAATTTTCAGGCATTTCAAAAAACAAAAATAATGTCTAAATAAAATTTTAAAAAATTTCAAATTTTAAAATTAAATTTACACATCTAATAATAATATTTTTTATTAAAAAGTTTATTATATTAAAAATGCAATCAATATTTTTATAATAAATTTACATTATTTACTTGCTTAAATTTAATCTAGAAACTGATCAAATAAACATAATTAGTAAAATTGTTTATGTAAAAATGTTATATTTATGATTAAATAATGCTAGGAGTTTTAGATTTATACCACTTATGTTGAAACTAAAATTTCGACATAAACTCACACGAACCAAATTAGATGAGATGCCCAAAATTACCAATAAAAAAAATGAACGATTCTCTTGATGTCTACCATTTTTGTGCTAAATTTAATATTCCTTTGCCTAATTGTCTTCCTTGCAGAAAATGAAGTGCCGAACTGTATTAGGAAAATGTCCCTTCTAGCATTCGCACTTAGTCGATAAATCGGTGAGTCGGGTAGAAAGAGATCATCAAGATCCGATAAAAATAAATAAACAAACTAATTGCATTTGCATAGATGGATCTCCCGAATTGAGACAAAGAAAGATTAAAAATCTCTATATATAATCTTAAGAAGAGCAAAATAATTAGCAATAATTATAATTAATCAAGTGGATACATAGTTATATATCTTACACTTGAGGCAGACAAAAAAGAAGAAGAAGAAAAGGAGAATGGAAAGGAAGGGGTGGCATATCTAGTAGTAGTATGGTTGGTGACGTACCATGTGAGGGTGGGGATTGGAAGGAGGTTGTTGATGATGGTAGAAATTGAGGTTATCTGTACCCTGGGTGGATGGCATGTTGTAGAAGCATTGGGGTGTGGAGGGTCCAGAATCATGTTCAGGTTGGCATTCCATGTTGACCCCAAACAGCCTAAGTACCTTTGAACTCGAACTCGAACTTGAACTGTTTTCCACCGGTCTCGTCCTTTGCTTCTGACCTTGGGACCCTCTACCTGTAACATTACAACACGTGCATTTGTCAATGCTTTAATCATATCATTTCATTTTGTAAATTCAAATATGTTTCTAATGTGAGTTGTGATGAGGATCAAGTGTCAAGTGAAGCAAACAAATGAAACGGCACCGCCTAGTTTTCTGAACCTAAAAGGGTTTTTTTTTTCACTAAAAAATAAAGAGAAGGAAAATCCACACGTTCGTTTTCGACGTATATGGGCGCGTATGCTTCACGGGTGTTTGAGCAATCTAAACAAGGGATTCGCCCTCTCACAAATCCCAACATAAAACCACATTTCTCCCGGTTAATTGGAAGGTAACCTTCACGCACTTCCACGGGAATGTAAATATTTCATCTTCTTGTCCTTTTTGAAAAAAAATAAAAATACTAGTACTAGTTCTTGTTTTATGGAATACTTTATATACATAAAAAAGAAAATAGAACAGGCACATTTGAAGGAAACAAAAAGGAAAAATCAATAAACGAAGGAATCCATGGCTATTTATGCACGAATAAATTAATTTTACACATTCGTACAATTTAACACTCATCAAAAAAGGTGAAAAATGAATTGAGGAGGGTAAAAGATAAAATTGAATACATATTTAATTTAGCTCACGGTCAAAAATATAATAATAATAATTATTTATTCTTCAAACTTTAAACTTAAAAAAAAACGATATGTTTAGTTTAGAATGTGAATGTATAATATATATATATTGAAGAGATAAAGAGACCTGCATGAAGACAGTCATGTTGGTATGGCAAGGGGTGATGATGCGTAGGATAAGGATGCGCAGAATAGAAGCCTCTGGTCCACCCCACGCCCACGCCCACACCAGCAGCAACCTCATTCTTGGCGTGTCCCACCGCCCTGCTAACGTGCGCAGGGGCGGTGTCACTCTGTCGGCGGCGCCTCCATCCGATGAAGAGACGGTGAGCGTCGTTACGGTGTCGTTCGAACAAAACGACGTCGCCTGCATCGAGGCGCTTGTCCTTAACGTAACGGCTCCAACCCTTAGTGAGGACATAGCTCTGACTACTGTTCCAATACGAGTAACGGAATCGCCAACACTTCCCTGACTCGTCCTCGAAACTCAGTAGCAAGCCCTTGCACTCGCCCGAGTCACCGCCACCAGAAGAAGCGGCGAGAGGGAAGTACTTTTCCGCGTGCTGCTTTGGGATTACGAGGCGATTGAGTTTTCCCACGTCACTTGGCGTTAGAGGCTTCTCGAACATGGGTTCCTTTTCGTGTTCTGTCTCTTGAGGTGTTGTGGTGGTGGTTTGGTCGTTGGTGTTGGTGTTGGTGTTAGTGTCGTCTTCGTCTTCTTCTTCGTCGTCGTCGTTGTTGTCGTTTTGGTTGTTGAGGTTGAAACGGGGTGTCGTAGTGGGGTAATGGAAAGGTGGGTCTTTGGGTTGGTGTTGGGGGGGCCAAGAAGGATGAATGGGTGGATTTTGGGTTTGTTCCATTAAGGTGGGTTGTTGTTGTTGTTCCTGCTGAGTCCACCACAGTGTGGCTTCTGGAAGGTCCATGGAGTAGTGGTTTATGGACATTTCTTCTACGTTGTTGTATCTTTGGAAGAAAAATAAAGGTGAAGAGAGAATTGAGGAGAGGGCACAGTCACAGATAGATAGCTTTGTGGGGAATGGAGAGAGAGAAAGAGAAAGAGAGGAAGGGTTCGAAAGAGGCGTGATGATTATGGTTTGATGTGGTAACTGTGGGAACTATTTGATGGAGCTAGGCAAGATATGACAGAGAGAGAGAGAGAGAGAAATGTTTACTCCTGACCCAAATTATCTGCCATCATTTTAGTTTTTTTCTTTCTTTTCTCCTCTTAATTTTTAAATTAAAATAACGTTTGATGGAAAAACAATTAAGAGAAAATATTATCTTAATAGAAAATATATTTTTTATTTATCACTTCTAATAAAAAAACAGAAAACATGTTTAGGAAATGTTTTTAGATTAGGCATATTTTAAAGGATAAAAATGTTTTAAAAATATAATATTTTAATTTATTCTTTTAAAAGAATAACACGTATCATCTTAATTTTTTGTATTTATTATATATAAATATTCTCTTCATAGTTTTTTAATTATTCTTTATATATTTTTTTAAAATTTATAAACATCCCCCCACACATATGTAATACTTTTGTTTTATGGACACATTTAATATTTATAGGTTTAAGGTTACGTGCAAAAGGCGTTACTACAAAGAAGGGAAAAAGCACATTACATTATATACTGACGAAGTATTCATAAAGAGTTACATGATTCAGTCCCATTATTTTATCATCAAATAATTTATATCTTATTTAATATTATACATATTTATTATTATTATTATTATTTACTACTGACATTTCAAAAACATCCTTTAAAATGAGAACATAAATGATCTCACTTAAGTTATTAAAAATACTTTTCACAAATAGTTATACTGTAAAATTCGTGTTAGTTCTCGAGCTACTTTTATATCTAAATTAAAATAAGTGAAATATATAGTAATGATAGTTAAATGAGTTCACAAAAAGGTATACACATGTCTAAGTTATACTCGTGAGACATACTGAGATTATAAAAATGAATTATTACTGAATTGGGCCGAACATGTATGTCTATGAATCTTGAGAAAGAAAGAGAGATTCTACAGGTGAGTAATTTCGTGGAATTAGGGACATCCCATGTTACTAAATTGGCAAACAAATCAAGTATCAGGGAGATGGGCCCCCTTTTTCCCTCTCCCTCCCCAGACTAAGTAATCATCATAATCTTCTCCCTCACTCTTCCCTCTGCTTCATTCTCCATCCCATCCACGGCCGGCCTAGTTACCTATTCATATTTACCATTTTATTTGCTCACCAAATTCCATTTTTCATTGTGCCTCAATTTTCATCAAACAACCATTGACTTTATATAATTGATTAGGAAAATCTTTGATAGAAAGTCGATACAAAAGAAAGATGATAAAAAAAAAATGTAGGATGTCAAATGGGTAATAGTACTTAAGATGTTGGTAAAATATAATTGATTTGTTTATGAACGTGCTAATAAATATCTTAAAGGAAGTGAATTTAAAAAGATTATATAAAATACAGTATAAAATCCATTAGTAGTATTTTAAAAACATTGTGTTTTTTTTTAATCAGGATCTTAAAAATATTTAGTTATTTTTTAATCAAATCAATGAATCTCGTAAATTTCAACCTTTTAGGTTAAGATAAAAATGGAATAGCGTACATATGTAATAGGTAAAAGGGTAAAAACCGACTGTTTCGATTTAATTAATGTGCAATGACTTTATCTTGTGCTACAGATCGATCAAAGGGTGGTGGTTGATGATTGTGTGAGAAAGTTAAACAGAGAGGCAAGGGAGTGGTCCATGTCCTCCTTGTTTTGTATCCTTTTGATGGACGTGTGTACGCATAGGTCTAATTCATTGAAGTATCTCCAAAATGTATTATCTTCAGGATGAAAGAATAGTATTTGTGTCACGTGCATGACTGCATTATTTCTGGTTGGCCACTCCTAGTTTTCAATGAGAGGAAATTAATTAACAAATTGAATTTTGAGGGAAAAATGCAAAACTTGCTAATAAGTATCTTTAAAGTATTGGTTGAAAATTTAAAAATGATAAGTTTTTTTAAAATTACATTAAATATTAAAAATTTATTTATTATATTTTTAATAAATAATTTTAAATTTTAAATTCTTCAATAAAACCTTAAAGACAGTAGTTAATATTTGTCAAAAAAATAAAATAAAATAAAAAGTGAAGGATTGGGGAGTAAAATATCCACAGATACCTTCCCTTCCCAATAAAAAGAGATGAGATAAGATTTGTCCAATTAGAGAAGACACAAAACTCTCTTTGGGTAGCCGTGTTTGAATCCCCTCCTCACACTCGCATCTCTCACACACAAACACACTCTCTTTGTTTACTTACCGGTCCCTTGGCTGTCTACCCCATGCATCATTTTTATATTAAAATATAATTGTATTCCATCATATTTATTGGCTTCTTTAGTTAGATTGCGTCTTTTCCATGACTTAAAGACAAAACTCACCTCAATTTCCAGGTAGATTCAGACACCCTTTTCTGCTCTACAAAAGGTTGAACTGTGTGTTGTTTTAGTTTAAGTACATGTTAGAGTCACGCCCATAATTATAGAGGCTTTTTTTTGGCCTTTTGTTATTTCCATTATTAATTCTCTAATACAAACAACTATCTTGTGTCATCTTACTCCAGCTACATATGCTTATATATATATATTCTCCATCATGTCTTTTGATCAGACGGTCCACACACACTACATAAAAACTCGAAAACACATGGAGTGCAATTAATTCCCAGAAGAAAACTTGAGAATTGCATTTGCAGGCTCTGCAAATGATGAGACTATAGCTTACATGTAAACGCCGAAACCTGAAATTTTGTATTACTCGCACAAAGATGTTGCTTGGCCTAGTGCAGGAATGCTTAAATATGAAGAAAGACACAGGCTGGGCTGTGTTAGGATTCTGCATGCCATGTTATTGCTTATTTCAGGGAGAAATGGGGAACAAGACAAGGAAAACGAGATATTTAAGGAAAGTATGGTAGGCACTGCCAAAGGGAAAGGCAAAAGAGATGGGGGGTAACCAAGTAATATACACATAATACATACATATAGTGTGACAGAACCACAAATTTAATATTTTCCAATTCTGGGGGTTCCTCATTCCCCAAGTAAAATCCCACACCAACTGGGTTTTGCAAGATCTATTCTAGCCTGTGAGAATTGAGATGATGACTAAAGTCTATGTCTTCCTTTTGGCAATAAATTGCATGGGGACACATGCATACATTCATTAACTTGACCCTATAGTATATAACCTTTTTTTTTAAAATTATAGTACATATTTAATACATTCATTAGATTATATAATATTTTATAATTTTTAATTAAAAATTATTATATGTAAATTTTTATTGTGTGTTTTTTAAGTGTATATTAAAAAAATTATGTTTATTAAGTATATATTGAGAGAGAGATACAAGCAGGGATTTCTGTCTTCTAAAAGAAAAAATTGTGCCTATGAACAAAGCCAGCGAGCCTGGTTTTTGTCGTAGAGATGCTATGATTGGTTTAACTATATATTGTCTTTTGTATGAGATTAGAGAGACTGTTCCAGATTGTAATTTGTAATAGTTCATTGTAGAATTGATATATTGCAAAAACAACTTCACAAACGGCCAAGAACGATGTATGCAATCTATTATCTTGATACGCATCCTGCACCTGAGTTTATCGTACACCGAGACTAATAAACAACAACAGCTACTCAATTAATTACATAAAGCTAATTTTAAAATTGCAATAGAAAATTACTAAACCAATTAACGGCATAATTAAAGTTCAGTTTATTCTTGACCAGTCATAATTAAGTGACGCACCATGCATATGCTATTAGATTTAAAATTAATTCATCAAATTTCGAACGTAGAATAAACAAAATACACCTGTAGGTAAAAGGGTTAAGTGGGCCAATTGGTTGAAACCGATCACTTAGAAATTATTAATATTATAAATATAATAATATGTTTGCATATGGCCCTTATAAAGTTAAAAGCGTACATCCCAGATGCACCAATTTATTTGTTTATATGACCCAAAATCTACAACAAAAGCAGTAAAACAAGTTGAAAGTTATAGTCCCAACCCAACCAAATAAGAAACTAGAAGGTTCATGCCAAAAACCAATCAAATTTGCCCCATGCAAGTCTACTTTTGTGTATTTGTTCCTTCAAGATTAAATAATTAGTGGGGACCATAGTCCTAAGTCTATATATACTTGAGCCATACTTGTCTTTGTTCATGGACCATTAACTTTGATAATAGTGCACAAATGCGAAGTGGCCGATATGTTAGACTTTCATTACATAGGTAGGGACTCAAGTGGTGCTGACCTTTCCATCGTCTTTGGACATTAATGATCAATCTTATCAACATGATTAGTTCCAGGAGGTCGGATTTAACTAGCCAGCTAGATAGGTAGAATTTGATCTATTGGAAGACTATGAGGAAAGTGGGGCGAACATGACTAATGGAGCAATAAATCAAATACTGTCCATGTATTTGTAATTTGACCAATACCCACGAGTGAAAGAAAAGCAAAATAGAAAACATAAAGCTAGAATGTATTTTAGCCCGCCAAATGGCAGGGCAATGAACACTGATAGAATTAGGAAAGAGATGATCACGGGGTCGACAATTGTCCAAATATTAATTAAAAGGTTTGAACCAAGGAAATTATATACGCTAATGTCAGAAATGTGTTTCATCATGCAAGATATAGTCGATCTACTTGTGGTAATGAGTGGCTCAATTTCCTCTTAATTCCTTGTAGATCATGAAATGGATGTTTGATTAGGACATATACCCATGATTTGGCTTATGGAAAGTATCATTAATCATGAGTTAACATAATTCAATTGTAGGCATGCAAGTCTAATACTATTCTTTTAGTGCACCATATTATATTTGCTCTGCCGGCAAGCCATTACCCCACGCAAAGCCCTTTGCTTTCTTTTCTTCTTCCTTTTTACTAATTTTTTTCCCAATAATTCATGGTACTGTACATAGGTACACAAACGGGGGAAAAAATAGCATTTTAAAGTGCTCGTAGGAAATATCCAAAATCAATTACA